ATATCAAGTGCGACAACAGAACTGAATTCAAAATAGTACCTACCTCTTCTAGCTTTGTCTCAACCTTTTTAAGCAACGGCACACCTAGAAGCAAATGAAAATATCACGGTACACTTAGCAACATTTTTTAAAGAGTATACATCCAAATGTTATCAAATAAAACCATAGTTTGTTTATTTTTTAAAAAAACAAACACAAATAAAAACTTCCTTTATTTCAATGTTTCTATTCAACTATTTATGCAACTTATTTAGTGTGAAACCTCTGCCTGGTGTTTTTTTTCTGCGATTTCTTCAATGTTTAGTCGAATGTGCGATAAGCAGACCCACATTTCTTCTTCAGTTGAGACTAGTCTTTCTCACTTCTTATTTATGATGTTATTTAGCGTTAAGAAGCCTAATTCACATAAATAAGATGTAGAAAATTGCAACAAAACTGATAAAGCCTTTTTAGGTAATGTGATATATCCCTTTTGTATTGAAATCCAAAATGTATCAATGGGTACCGTTGAATGTTTTATTTTGAAGCCTCAATCATATGAAAGGGTGGCTAATTCTTTTTCAAATAGCTGATATCCAATATTAGAAGGAACAGTTATGAAGGGATTTCAAGTCCAATCATACTTTTCTGTGTTGAATGACGGAAAATAATAGTCGATGTTTTCGTCGAGTGCTTTCAGATGGGCTGCCATAATAGGGATCATTTTTTTTTAATGCAGGTAGCACGCATTGAAGGAAAAATATCAAAATTACCCGACCTTGCTCTATTTTTCCAAATCACAATGACAATATTTCGCGGTACACTTCAGGGGATTGCGCGGCACACTCGTGTATTGCGGCTTACTCGTTTATTGCGGCTCACTCGTATATCGCGGCTCACTCGTGCATCGCGGCACACTCTGGTATCGCGGCTCACGGCGGTTAAGAATCATTGTGCTAGACTAAGCGAAAATACTTAGATTAGTTTTGGCATAAGGCCACAATATTGGCGCACGCAATGAGGAATGAACACTCGACTCAGTAATAATAACTTACAAGAATTGCTCGTTAACCATGACACCACATCAAAACGCCTTTGAAACTACCAGCGTTTCTCATTTATGCGTATGGGTAGTCTTACTTTATTTCAATGTTTCTATTCAAGTATTTGTGCAGCTTATTTAGTTTGAAATCTGTGTCTGTTTTTTGTTTTTTTTCGCGATTTCTTCAATGTTTGGCCAAATGTGCGATGCAGACCTGAATTTCTTCTTCATCTGAGCATAGCGTTGCTTGCTTCTTATTTTTTATATTATTTAGTGTTGAGAAGCAGTGTGTTAGACTCATGTAAATATATATATATATATATATATATATATATATATATATATATAACATATACAACATCCGCACATCCAAGAAAATGTAATGACTAATCTCCGCTACGTATGATTTCCTCACAAATGTAATAAAAGACGCAACGCAAAAATAAAATCCAGAGGCACGTAGAAATAATGAAAAGATGATTCTAAGAAACAAGACAAAGTATTAATCTCTATATGAAGTTAAACTTAGAAGCAAAGAAATGTGTGGTGGATCGCTGCGTAAAACCAAATCTTCGTAAAAACTGTAACATGCTGAACGTGTGTTTCAGTTTTACTCAAGATGATTCTAGTAGGACAAGAAAAGGTATCAGGATTTATTATCAGCGGACGTAACCTTAACCGCGCCAGCTACGTAGACGACACGGTGATGATAGCAGATTCAGAGAGAAAACTGTGTGTCTTATTATTAGACGAGACAATCGAGGAAATCAACAAACAAGAACTAAGCATTAACTGGAAGAAGACAGAATGCCTGGCTGTCAGCAAGAGAGAGACACCCCGAGGTGCTAGTCACGTATTTGGGGACAAAGAAAACAAGCGGGCGCAGGAACGTAGTAATCTGGTTAGTATGTGTAAAAAATGACGGTAAATATGACACTGAAATCCAAAGGAACATAGAAATAGCGAAAGATGGCATTCACATTGATTTGGGTTTTTTTACGGCTTATCAACCTTTTACAGGTTATTTAAAGCAAGAAAATGTATTTACATAGTAGAAATTTTGGGGGGATAATAACGACTTACTGATACAGGTTCTACCAATTAATTGATTGATTTCTTTTTTACGGCTTATCAACCTTTTGCAGATTATTTAATGCCAGAAAATGTTTTTATATTGTAAAAATCTTTTTGTTGATAATAACGATTTACTGATACAGGTCATACTAATTAACCCATAGCTGTGGAGGAGAAGAGGTGAATTCATACCTGTCCCAAGGTTATTTGCGCGTAAAACAATATAACGAACCCGACTGGAATTCGAACTAGGCTCTCTGATTCCCGAATCTGAGCCGTTGTCCATTACACCACCCGCACATCTAAGCTTACAGCACCTACTAATCCCAGTAAGTCACCCATCTAGGTAATGACCGGTCTCGACGTTGCTTTACTTCGATGATCGTACGGGAACTGGTGTTTCAATATAATATAACTATTAGCCTGATGTCATTCATAAGCTAAGCAAAGTATAAAGTGATTAGAAAATATCCGTAGAAACAAAGAAATATCCCGATATAGCTGTGAATGCTGGACGATTTTCTCACAGATGAACAAAAGAATTAAAACAGCCGATATCCAAATGAAAATGGTATGAATAGCCGTTTCCTTATAAGGAAACATTTTGCATTCATTACAGAGTCCGTTGATATTTATAAAATCTTTATTGTAAAACGATTCTTCAGGAAAATAGCTTTCTCAAGTCCAGTAGCTGTTATGGCTCTTTCCAGTATTAATGGAAGTTTCCTTCCTAACCTCTTGTTTGAAGTAATGTGGAATGTCAACATCTTGATTCCGTCATGATTTTTGTTTCGGGTTACATGAGCTAAACATTTTAGTTGTTCTTGTTGCTATTGTTAAAAGTCTTTAAGTGATTTTTTTTCTTATTTTGTACAATTCTTTCTTTGTTATTCCGTAGCGCCATTCCATAATGTTCGAAGTGTGGACTTTACTAATATCCGCGGGCTTCACTCGCGCAAAGCTTTTTTAATCATTAATCTTAGAAAACTGTTGTATTCAACTGACAGTCTAGATATTTCTGAACGAGTATGACATCATGCATTTCATCCTTATTAAAGTCTCGATCTGATGTGACTATTTAAGAGCATAACTCGAGATTTTAGGTTGTTTCGGCTTTGTAGCAACTTGCGGTATTGGGAAAAACTACGACTCACACAGACTATTCAATGTTCAATTTCGTAATCTCCTATACTAAATTTGATCTTTAGAAAAAGGAATATGTGGTAATATTTAATCATCAATGTGACTGTGAATAGTCCACGATTTTCTCACAAAAAAAAAAAAAAAAAAAAAAAAATTAAAATGACAAAAAATTCAAATCACGTAGAAATAACGAAACTAAGCAAAGCATTAAAAGATAGAAAAATATCCTTAAAAATAACGAAATATATTCTGGATCGCAGCGTTGATTAAAATGATAAAAAGATTTAAAGCGTCAATAGTCTTAGAAAAGGGCGGTTTAATGTGAAATTTCACAATGAAAATCCCGTTTTTGACGTGGGTCCTGTATAGCAACTACAAACATTATTTTTTTATTTTTGCAAATCTCCAGCACCTTCCTCAGTATCCTCGAAAACTCTAGCATTGAGCTGAACTGTTTGAAGGGTGACAGAACTAATTTCAATTCGGAACCTCAAGAGGGTAATTTGCAGTTCAAGCTCTGTTTCTAATAACAATTTCTCGGATAGTTCCATTTGGGTGTAAATATACATGCTTAATTTGAAAATAAAATCTACCGTTTCTGGAGTTATCTACAATAAAAGTTCGGACTCATTCGCGTCGCGGTCGGTAAAATTGAAATTAATTCTGCATCCGGTTTGAAGTCGTATTTGAATTTTTAACTCAGTCAGTCTTGATGCTAATTTTTTTTTTTTTTTTTTTTTTGTATTTTATTTATTTATTTCGGAGATCCAGGTGTGCCAATTACTACCGGCTCAACCTTAACTTTCATATAGATCGGCTTTTCCAGTTCCCGACAATGTTCTGGTATTTTCCCAACTTTCCGCTTTCTTTCAGCTCCACCCTGTTTTTCGATGACCTGACAGATTCTTTTCTTCTTCTTTAAGACTACTGGCTCCAGTCTTATTGCTTGGAGGAGAGTGTTTGCTAAGAATTTAAAATAACGACACTATCTTATTCCTAACTACTATGATTGTCTCTGCCTTTTTTCGCTGGTGCTATTTGTTTATATAGGCACATGAAGATCGTTAACAAAGCCTCCAATGAACTGGATTCGAAACAGTGCATTGGATGTAACAAACAGTGTTTAATTCTATTGTTTTGTTCTTACTTAAAATCCCAACCTTATAAAACAGTAAATTTACAATGAGTTAGATTCGAAACAGTGCATTGGATTTAACGAACAGCGTTTAATTCTATAACTTCTTCTGACTCAAAATTGACCTAAATAAAATTAAGTAATAATTAAAAATATTTTTTACCGTCACTCTATTGTTACTGCTGTCTTGGAAGGTAAGTTTGTTTTTAATTTATGTTTGGACAGACATGAAATAAAAAACGACCTATTTAAAAAGAAAAAAAAATACATTGATTTATATTAAATTTTACTTGGTCTATGAATAGTGGTGTCATTTTAAAGAGAGTACATTAAACAATATTTGAAAAAAAATCTTTTTTTTATGGCCATAATTATGACATTTAAACTTTATTCGAAAGTCAAGTTCTATGATGCCACCACAGCGTAGTGTATTTTTTTTTTTTTTTTGTCTTTCCTTTAACCTTTCATATGGACCAAGTCACTTAGCAAACTCTTTTTCGTAAATGACAATCTGATTGTGTTGGCTACTTCGCCCGGTTTTGCCGCCAGACAGGCTGAGGAGCGGGAACTGGTTAATGACTGTATTCTTGTCTAACAGATATCAATCTATGCTCGTGACAGTCGATACGGCCGCCATTATTGATCCACAAGCGCTTAAATCTTATTCTCTAAATAGGTTCTATGACTGCCCAACTAGCAGTTCTTCGGATCATTAAACGCAATCATCCATAGAAATGCGCTTAGGATAATGATTGCAAATTTTATTTAAATGTTTTCATTAAGATTTCTTAAAATGTTTTTTAATTTCGCTACTTAAAAGGAAAAAAAACGTTTCGTAAAAAAAAAAAAGTTGGGGGGGAATCTTTACCTAGTGCTTCATGTTAAAATCCACACCTGAAACGAAAGATTGTAGGTTTTATATTATTAGGAGGAAACTTGAGTGAGCTCTGTGAATTAAATTATTAACAACTACTATCTTATAAGGATATTTAATAAAGGTACCATTTTTTTTATTTATTTATTTAACTCTTTGAGTCTTGCGTTCCTGAATAATTGTAACCCTTCTGCTTGAGCTACGGAGTCAAAATTCGCAAATAATTGGTATGTAATGTTTCACAGTAGATATAAAAAAAAATAGCTAAAAGTGTTTTCCCATCGTTCAACCGGTGGCTAGGCATTAAGTCATTTTTCTCTATCACCGGTAAAGCGGTGTTCAGGGCTCAAGGGTTTAAGAGGTCAAAATATTTTTAGAATGAATTAGAGCATCTATGAATGGAATTCTGTTACAGTGTAACCCGGATATAAGAGAGATTTTCTCTGGTCCCAAATTAGAGCCATACTTACCTAAACAAAATAGACCAAACCCGGATATAAGAGAAACCCGGATATAAGAGACTTCTTCTCCGGTCCCGACAACTCTCTTATATCCGGGTTACACTGTATTAATATTCGTAATTAAAAAAGAGGAATGAATTCTTTTCGAAACATTTTAGATTTTTTAATTTCAAGGTTTTTTTTTTTCTTTTTTTTTTTTTCGCTAGTGAAAATATCTAAGCATTATGTTAGATATTTAACATAATGCTTAGGTTTGTTGGTACTATTAAAATAGACTGGTCTGCTGTGGGGGTGGGGAATAAGGAAGAATACCGAAGTTGTCCTCTTTCTAAATTTGTAATAGTACGCATTTTACATTATTCAGACTATTTTCCCCATCATTGTCGTCATATTTATTACAACGTTTCAGTCATTGTACGCTCCGGCTTTCTTCAGGTGGTTGGAATGTCGAACTGAATCCTTTTTTTTTCGCTCGCTGGGGTAGACTGTTCTAGTTCCACGTGCAATGTCTAATGGATGTCAGTTATCTCCTGTTAATTTCCCTCTCCAAGTTCTCCACCGCCTTAATCAGGTATTGAACTCAGACTCTTTGGGTCCAGTCACTGGATCTAACTAACGCCTTTATCCACTGTGCCATGTGTCCTCAAATATTGATTGTAATATAGAAATGTTCACCCACTTTATATCCATATTATAATTTGTTTATTAAATCTGTCCTATATATATATATATATATATATATATATATATATATATATATAATTATTTATATATTATATGCGCGGTACTTATTAGAAAGCGCTCAATATCAGAGATAGAGCTAACATATTTGGTTGGATAGATGCGAAGAAATTTATTCACTGGAAAAATAAAACATGACATGTATACATTCACGAGAAGATTTTCGCTACACTCCCAATCTTTGAATTTCAACATACAAATGCGTATGTATAGACACAACACCACCCGTATACATACATATGTCATATCCGAAACTGCCCACATATGTTTATATATGTATGAGTCCCGACGGACGACCAAGTATGTATATGTGTCTGCATACATCGATGTTTGCGTTAGTACGATGAATGACAAAACGACGAAGTTTCCCCCACCACTTCCACAATAACACCAATACACGCAATCTACATAAACCCAAATTTTTAAAAAATTAATCAGTTTGTCTGACGATCGCTAGAGCGTGAAACCCATGGTCACAAACTCACATCTATCCAGCCATATATATATATATATATATATATATATATATATATATATATATAATGACCACTTAAGTAAAATAAAACAAGGTAAACTACATCCGGCAACAAGAACTCTGATCGGGAAGTTTCAGGTGTGTGGAACCTCCTCTTACTTGCTGTTGTTCCCAGGTCCATTTTGACACAGGGTAGTAGCACCTGTTAGGGTCCAAGCTATGAGCAAATAGTGAACTCCTAAACTGGGGTCAAAACATGAAAATATAAAAATACATTACAAAAATTTACCAGCAATACATTTTCATAATAAAAAAAGAAAGTTATCAGCAATACATTTAAAAAAAACACACAAAATGCCCAAATCTCACAAGAAAAAAAGATTTCGACATGAAATCATCCAAAAGGAGCTGATAAGCAGTTAAAAAAAACCTTGTTGTTCAAATTCTGATTAGGCATGAATCCACTTCTTCTCCCCCAGCTATGGGCTAATTAGTAAAACTTGTACCACTAAAACATTTAAAAAAATATTTAAAATAAATAAAACCAATCAAAAGATTGATTAATCAATATATTGA